GTGTGGATTCCAAATTTTGTTTTAGATAATAACTTATATTATTAAGAAAAGTATTTTTCCCTCCTTATTTTTATTGTATAAAGAACTTGAAAAATTCATGATTTTTAGGGGCTTCGTTACAAATGTAGTATTAACAAGATAGAAACTCCAAAGCAGGAATTCGCAACTCATCTCTTGTATTGATTGCTTTTAAAAAGAATGGTTTCGTTTACTAACCTCTTACAAATTTCTTTAGAATACACAACATAAACATAATAAATAATTGCACATAAGTAATTTAAAGACGAAAATCACACTAAGAATTTGAAGTTTTGAAAAGAAATTGTTTATTGGAATTATGTTTTGTATAATTATTGTTTTTAATGCGACAAATATAAACAATTTTCAAAATCACCGATTGTATTTGCACAAAAATTCGATTTTATTAATGTTACGCTTGGAATATTGATGCAATACTGTTAATATTTGGCATAAAATTGCTTAAATGAACCCTCTAACCGGTAAGGCCGTATATACGGCCTGGAATATTTTTGTGGTATCTATAAGAACGTATATATACGTGCATATTAAAATATGTCAAAGAAATTAAGCCAATACATTAAAAGTACACAAATCCAGGTGTAAAATACCATGAGAATTGTTACATTAAAAATAAGAATATAATGTTTTCTCATATTAGTTTTGGGAAATGTGTGCTTTCTTAGCGAAAACCTTAATTCAGAGAGTACTTAAATAACCTTCAGAGAGTACTTAAATCACCTCGTGCAAGAATCTTCTTTTTTTCCATAGTTAATTATTGACTTGACTAAAGCCTGCTTATACTACATATAAGAAGAGAATGTTAATAATGTTGGTACAATAAGAACCTTTTGGGAAATATATTGGTATATACATTATTGATTTTTAAATTATGTTAATTAAATTAGTGTATGTTCTCCTTATATTTATTAGATTTATGCCTTGTTAGAATATATAATTTTTATATCATTAAACAATTAATTATAAATTTTATTAATTATTTTTTGTAATCAATGTGTTCTTGATTATGCCGACCATGGCCAAATTCGGCTATCAACCCTCAATCGACCCTTTGATCATCTATGAACTATTTAATATTTTGGTGATCTCCAGGGAGTCAGTACCCGTAGGTAACTCCTAAAGGAATCATATTGTATTATTTTAAAATATTTGAATACCTAATCTCTCTAAAACCATGGGTAATATCTCTTTGCATTTTAATTAAATATTTTCACAATACTTTAATATATCTATTCAAGACTACCTTAATATATCTATTCAAAACAAATTCATCCAAACAATTTGTTTATTCTAACTTAAAATTTTAATACAGTTATATTTCCAGGTACTAAAAATACAAATATTTCCTTGAGCCAATTCTCATTTGAAACGAACTTTCACGGATCTCTAAAGAGAACTGACAGGTATCATATATATTTCTATAAATCAAGTGAGAAATGTTCAAAATGCCAAATAACTTCTATTCAGTTGCCTTAGAACAAAGTTTCTGTGAATTTCTGAATCCGAAATCTGTGTAATGTATCGACTGTCATAGACTGCTGTCTTGGAACACCTCCTTAATCTTGTCTTCGCGGAGACAGAAATTGTTTCTGAGTAACACAATAAATATTCCAGATCTCAAAGCATTAGATTCAACGTAAAACTGATTTAGAGAGCATGTCAGAGATATTTCCTTCTGTTATAAATTTTTCAACTATCGACTAAGAGGAAGTAATCTGCTATTAAACATTTTAAATAAATGAAGTGATCTTCAATAAAATGAATGACTTGGATAAAATGTGAAAAATGCATTTTTAGCTTGTAGGTACATTTTACTGACAAAATAGGACACTTAAAAATGTGTAACTTCGTTTCACAAATTATGATAACAGATGAAAACAATTATATAATATTCTAGAAGAAATGTCATTAAATTAATTTTAATCCAGAATCAGATTAATAAAAAATAAAGGTTATGACTATCCTTAAAATTCTTTCTCTTTCTCTATATAAATAGGAAGAGAATATAAACTTGGTAAATTTAAAAACAAATTCTCGTATGAGAAACTTTCAGATCTAGAATCTTGCTTAATTGCTGCTAAGAGTGTCATAAAATAATTAATTAACTAAGTTAAATTGTGACAAAACAGACAATTTAATTAATTTAGGCAAAAATGTAAAATGTTAATTGAAACAAAATTTTTAAATCAAGTGCATGTTAAGTAAAAGGTGAATAGCCTATGACTAAGCTGTAGTAATTAAAAAAACTAAATATAAATATAAAAATAACTACTTAAAATTGACCTTTAATTTACTAGTTTTCAATTTTCTTCTAAACAGCGTGTTCTGATAACAATACATTCGTGCAAAATATAAGTTTTTTAAAATTTTTGTTATCCTATACCGGCTAGTTACTTAGTCAGTTAGTTACTTAGTCAATCGGCTAGTTACTTAGTCAATCGGTTATTACTTAACTAGCTGGAAGACTTCGCAATAAATATATGTTTTAATTATTTAAATACTTTTTTTTATTTTTTAATAAAGTTCTTAACTGATATATTTAAAAAATATGCGTTTAATATGTAATATATCCATCTGACAATTATGGATATTATGTGTGTTACTGTAATCGTAAAAAATATTTCTTAACTTATATATTACTTATTACGGATTGTAAAATTAAGTATTTAAAAATTATTAGTCCCCAAAGTCTTTTATTTATACGAAAAAATGTTTGACAAAGGGAAGTTTTATAATAAAAAAATTGTTTAGTAAAATACTGTATTTAGAAAGTGATGCAACAGCTGAAAAATTAATTAATTGTTCGAATATATAAATATAAAAGTGAGTAAAATAGACTGACATTTTTCTCAGTTTTAGTAAAAATACTTTTGCTTTAAATATGTAGAGTTAATATTTGATGTCTGAGCACAGAGAATAAATGTAGCAACAAAATGTTCGTGTTTCGATGCGCAGTACATAATGAACAATATTAAAGTATAAGTGAACGAAGATGCTAGTTGATCGTAATTCTCTTATCCGATGCTGTCTGTGCTCACTGTTTATTTGACAATTTATGAAAATAAAATAATATGGCACATACAGGTCCAATACTTAATATAATATTAAAAAAAATGAAGAGCATGTTCCACAAAATTTCAGAAACCATGTTCATATAAAGAATCATTAAATATAGTAAGCTCATATAGAACAATGTAGAAGAAAATGAGAAACATAACGCGATAATTAGAAATTGAAATAAAATTCTGAAATTCTAAAATTCTCTCGATATTTTAGAAACTGTGAAATTATCTACAGTAATTAGAACATTATGAAAATTCACATAATAAGAGTCTAAAATTTTACTAGTATATACAAATTGAAGAGTTCCAATGTAAATGCTGTGTGAATATCTTACATAATTAGAAAACAGTTAATAGTCGTTACACATGGCATATATGTCAGTTTAAATAAACTGATAATATCTTTATAATAATAATACATTTTGGTAAAGCTATGAAGCTTTAACTATGCTTTTTACACAGAACTCCCAGTCACTTGCTAGCTTTTTAAGATCAAGATCTCTCGTGTTGTGTCAGGAGAACTGATAACGATCCGGATTTCATTTTATTTACACACATGCATACCTCTCAAGAAGAGATTGTGAAAAGAAATGACCATAAAGTAGTTCAAGTAACAATTATGAAATAACTGTTTGTTGTTTATTTTTGGTAGAGAGCTGAAGGTTCTTCGATATTGGAATGCTTCCTTTCAGTCATTTTGCTACGCATTCATAACAAATTTATGCAACATGACAACTATCTCTTATGACTACCAGTATGTTTTAAATTATAGTAAAACTCGACTTAACACGAATTCGCATAAGGCGAAAAATTGGTTAACATAAACAAAATTTTACTCCCAGCAGCGATATATATGATCTTATATAAAGTGTTATCGGTTAAAGCGGATTTCCGTTAGCATGAATTATTGTTTTCCTATTTGTTGCGTCATAAATTTATCATTTAACACGAACTTTAAAGTCTTTATATTTTTCCCTCTCTTTTTTCTGTGCTAGGACTGCATTCAGAAATGTTCTGTCCCGTTTATAACTGAAAACCTCACAGAATGTACTTTATTCTTTAAAACGTAGCAGCATGATTAACATTACTGGGTAATGACAATTAACGTGTCAACAATGAGCTTTAATCAACAAATGCAATTCTGTATTCAGAAAAGTGAGGAGGAGAATATAGTTCCACCCACAACCCCCACGCCAGGAAATGTTACACGCCCTAACAACTGTATAAAATTTTGTTGCAACATCCGAACTGACATTTAGTTTTACAGAAGAAATGAGTACAGCTGGCCGTGAAGTTACCAGGCATTTTCGTTTTCGATTGCGATAGCTGAATATACAGAAATGTTTCACCAAAACGTTATCTGTGAACACATTTTTCAAGTTGCAGTACAATAATTAACGTAGTATTGTAGTAGTTTCTATGAGGATATACATAATATATTGTAGTATCTTATGCAATTACATATTGTAAGTGGTTAATGTGTTGAAAATTGATTCCAAAAATAAAATTTGAGTCCCCGGTTAACACGATTTTTTTTTTTTAAACGAAGACTTAAATTTTAACGCGAATTGTTTTTTCGGTCCGTTGAGACACGTACTAATGAGGTTTTACTGCAAAAATAAATATTAATGTTGAACGTCGCCAATAACTATATCCTTGAAACCGACTGCCATGGCAGAAGAACATCATCCTAAACCTTGGGTGATCGTCTTTGGCAGGATTCATTTGAACATATGGGCAGTTGCCGGTAAAACCTAAACGTGATATGTTATTTATTTGAAGGAATAATATTATCCTCAAACGACGTTTTCAGCTTATTTATATATATGGAATCTTTCTTTATGAAATGAGGGTTTCCTTACATTTAGAGCATCTTCTGATTCTAAAGCGGGTACGGAATTTTTTTTTTTTTTTTTTACTTTTTGCCTTAACTATTTGAAGGATTATTCTTAATTCATTACTAAATCTTTTTAACATATTTGGTCATAAGTACTTAAATATTAATTAACGTAGAGTTAGAAATTCAAAGCAATTCTACACAAAAATGTAAATAAATGCCTGTTTTTACAAAACATAAGATAAATTAACATTGTTCAATAACTATTTTGATTTCAACATAATGCAACAGTATTTAAAAAAATAAAAATTAAATGATATATAGCACATAATTATTCATTTCAACGTATTTTTATAACATACATTTTTATAAACATACATTTGCAATGTGTATTCAAAGGATACACTTTTGAAGGAAATTATTTATGTCATACATCAAAAATAAAATGGTCACATTGTATGCGTAAAAGAGTAAGTTTCTTTCAGTTCCTCACGGAATAACGCTGTCTTGCGAAGAAATGTTACGAAGAAACAAACAAAAAATGTGTATCTGAAAAATAGATAAAAATCTGCTGCAATAGGCTTGTTGTGGTAGAGTTGATCTCTCTTTGGTATTCTGAGCTGGATTTCCCATATGGAGGTTTGAAGAGATCAAATATTATTTCTTTTTCTCAAATTCTGATGTGGAATGTGCTGTAAAGAAGTAAAATAATAAAAAAGAATGTTTTTAAAGTGAACATTTGTGGTCTGGATATAAAATAAATTTGGTTTTCAACAACTTGAATATTTCAAGTGGGAAAGAAAGTTTAGTTGGTTTACGAACAAGAGTTCCAAAGATAGTCCCTTTCGAGCTTTAAAGACACTCTAATACAGTTCATTATGCAAAAGTGATTATCTCTGTCTTAAGGAGGATATAATCTCCGACTCTTCAAAACAGATAAGTTCATTTTAGATTTATTTTGTACCAAAGTGACTTGTGCTAGTATCGGTTTAGTTAATTCATAGTAAATTCCTGAAGATACTTACAGTCAGATATTGCTTTATTCTCGTACTACAGCAATGAGAAGACACTATGTAGCGTTAGGTCAGGATGTCCAGCAAAGAAGTCTCTTATTTCAAATATAAAAATCTCGAAGACAAAGATCGATAGAAGAATACAACAAGCAGTATATTTATTATGAAAGCTTCAAGAATATTATATATAAATTTCCAAGTAATAGTTACAAAAGCTGCAAACAGATGGCACTGTATCGCAATACGTAGGTTTAGTGCACCGAATGTAAAGGTTGCAATCATGTAATCCTCTGAAAAAAGTGTGTTTTTGATAATTAAATACCAGAGATTAGATCACCGCCCTATGACAACAAGGCGTAGTTTTTAAGTACGACTACATGTTCCCAAAGGACCCAACGAGAAAAATCATTCACAAGCTCTTAGAACGGACAGGAAGCTTGGACGAAGGGCTAGGAGGGAATTTTGTTTACAAGCAATTTGTACTTGCATTTGCATTTGTACTTACATTTACATACAATTTGCAACTGTTTCTGGAATTATTTAGCAAAATATATTCGCAGAATTGCAAGAGAGACTGATTTTAAGTGTTCCAGAGCAAATAAAATGATGAGAAACAGTCTGGACATGTTTGCATTCAAAATCCAAATTATCAGGCGCTAGTGTACAACGCTATCTGTTAGCTGCTTTTGTAGCTATTACTTCAAAACTCCTACATAACGGTTGTATTGTGCATAAGTACGCTTCCTCTGTTCAGCACAGTTTTAATCAAAGAATCATAAGTCAATATAAATACGAAATCTTTATTTAACAAGAATGAGAATTCTGCTTAACTTAACTAGAACATCAATTAAAAGTAATCTTCGCAGACATTAAAAATTTAAGTATTGAAAGAATAACTTACATAGAATCATCATCAGTCCTAAATCATCAGGTTTACTTATTTAGGCAATATAAAAGAGAAAAAGTATTATACTTCGACACAGTACCTGAAAGAGAAAGCACTAACTGAATTAGACCTTTGGCCAGGTACAAGTAGCTAAGATGAGAATCGAATGCCCCTCGACTTTCGCTTTCTCTTGCCAATATATATCTTGGGCCACGTTCGTTTTTATGCTTTCAGTTTCATTATGCAAAAATACCTAAATTTATGCTAACAATAACAATCTCACAGCTTTAACAATAAATGTACTCTTGTTGTATTCCTCTATCGATCTTTGTTTTCGCGATTTTGAATTTTGAAATCACAGACTCCTTTGCTGGACACCCTGCATATTACATTCAAGAGAATAAGAATATAAATAGCTTTTGTTCGTTTTAAATTAATTGTCAGAAGTTATACATAATTTATTTTAGAAGTCAAACAACAAAATCAGCGTTATATATGCAAATGTTCCAGCACAAGTATGAATAGTTCAACTACTGAACCAATTTCCTGAGCTGCCAAAGTTTTTGTTGTTTGACTTCTAAAATAATTGTTGTTCGGCGTGTTATTTTAACCTATATTATAGATACTCTGCTAAAAATAAATTTAAAATGACAAATATTCATTTTAGTCTTCAACACAAAGTTTCTAAACCCAAACAAATCCGTACTTACATTACATTTCTTACATGCAGAAGCAGATGATCATATCAATGAGTGATTTTTAACTTGAAAATTAAAGCAGTGTACAAAAAATTATGAAAAATAGATGTTAATTTTCAATGACTCACTTTCGGAAGTACCTCGTAGGATAGCACGTCAGTAACTGACTACTTCATGAAATTAATGAGAAATGGTATAATTAACAGTTCCTTTTAAAATGTATCATAGCTGAACAGTTATTAAAAAATCTCAGATGAAACAATGATATAGAATAATTGACATACGTTGAAATTTCTTACCAAAGGAATTGGCAAACATGAAATCCATTAAATATATTTACCCCTCAATCTGACAAAAGCTAATAGCAATAATCGTTTGGAAAGTTAATAAAGTAATTATATATGTGCTGTATATACAAAATTCCTGTAACGAGTATAGGAAAGGAGAAAAATACACTTACGGGACAACACGTGACATAAACTTGCAGAATTATTAGATATTTGTTTCGGGGGGGCCGAATCTGAAAAATGAACAATGCCCTCGCCAGGACTCTTAACTCTGAACCTAAGCCACGTCTTGGTTATGCAACCAGACGTCTTTCCAACTGCTATGCGAAAGCTAACAGTAAATAGGAAGAAAATTCTTACAAAATTACACACACAACATACGAGTATAACATGTAACACTTATTACCTATATAAAATGCAAGGAATGAAATTCCTCCAAATGTTAAATTTGAGCATGAAGACTTTCTTGCTACGCATCGGGTAGTAGATATGATTTCCATTTTCAAACTGACGAGTTTACATCAGAAACATTTTATGTTACTGAATATGCAGAGATTTTATTTCCCTTTGCTATCATTTAACGTACGTTTATAATGGTGTATGATGTGAATCCATAAAATCATCACAGCACTCTTCAACTCTACAGACATTTCAAAAGCCCTGATTTCCTAAGTAGAACAAACATCTCGGAAGACCAGCATAAATTACAGCAAATCGCACTAGCCATGAATTGATGTCATTCACCCAAGCATTTGGAAGATTTTACAACGGCAATTTCAATTAAAATTATGCAATCTGAAAATGTTGCAACATTTAGAACAAGATGACTCTATCAAGGATACAACTTTCATAATCACATACAGGAAGTAATGTATGATAAGGATTTTGATAAGTGTCTAATATTTAGTGAGGAAGCTACATTTCATTTCCGGGTGGTAAACTGTGACAGTGTCTGAATAAGAAAAATGGAAAAAATACATTCTTTCCGTGATCCGAAATAGAATTCAATAAACGTAAACTCTTTCTCATCCAGTTCAAAAACGTTTATTAAAATGTAATCTATTCCACGATGATAGGGCTTTATCTCATTAGCAGTATGAGGTACGTCGCTATATGAATTATGATCTCGTATGTTACTGTGTCACTGAAATTATTGACGTGGGAATAATGAATTTGCACTGGTCAGAAGGTCTTTTGACCATATGTTCAATGATACCTTTTTTTTTTTTTTTTGGATAAATTAAATAATTTCCGGATGGATGATACGTTAAAAACGGTGCTTATATGTCTCCACTGCTAAAAACATTAAACAACCAGGTGAACCGCATTAGCGAACATCAGTGGGGGGGGGATGTTACAACGCGTATGGACATAATTGGAAGACGTATTTCATTTCATTCAATACTACTTATTTTCTCTTATTTTTAAGGAATGCATTGTTTTGAAATACGACGGTTGATCTGTAATAACCTGTGATAAATAAACAATTTAGGATTAGTTATACGTGTCACGCAACAATCATTGTTTAAAAGTATATAACTTTATTTATAACTTTAGATTTTAAAAACAAGCAATCATATTTATGATGCAAAATCTGCAATAAGTATCTGTATTGCATAATTTCGTTAAATAAACCTATAAAATCTTTTTCATGTATTGATTTCTACTGCATTTTCGTTATAAATTTCAAAACTTATAAATAAATTCTTAGGATGAAGTATTCATAAATTTAATAAAATTCTCTCCTCTGTGTTTTTGGAATTTCCTGTCATAGAGATAATATAGTTACGATTGTATAATGTATGCTTCCTATTTCATAGATTAATATAATGCGTGAATAATAAATGCTGAGATATATATTTATCACTGTCGTTTTTGACTGTTATAACTTTCTATATTTAATATATATGTGGGAGTCATCAACGTCCAATGCTGAATTAGAATACCAGGATTATGACGTCATCAGTATAGCATCACCCAGCGCAGTAAGAATCATCCCAGACAGCGCTGAGACCTGGTCGAGAGCGGAGGGCAGACGTGAGCAGACGGCTCACACGTCTTCAAGAGTTTGATTGTGCTTTCGATGTTATGCCTTTACATCATTATGTTAATCCTGCATACCGTTAACTTCATCTTTATATACTTTTCTTAATTACTTTTATTTCTTCTTCTATTAAATAAACCATTTAAATATTACTTCGTGCTCTCATGCTGTGAATTAAGTCAAATTCTACAAAAAAATATGGCGACCAACCGTGCGGCCTCGAATTCCAAAATGTGCGAGTGACATTAGAACTGTGCTTTGAACTACTGAGTGAACTATTCGATTTATTGGATTACTCGTATAAAGTGTGGATTACCCAATTGACGACGATCATCTGTCGGGTGAGTACAAAACTTTCTTTCCAATATGAAGTTAGTAGAAATTCCAGAATTGGAAGCAGCTTTAAAGAACAGTAAAAGTTCTGAAATCAAAAGTTTGCATAAGCTTATTTTTAATACTGATGGAGATCGAAATAACCGGAAAAGATTACGTGAATTTTCTGGCTTTATATTTAAACCAGATTCTGAAGAATTTAATAAGAAAATAGATACAGTGCAGAATAGTTTTACTTTGAATGAGTTAATTAAAGTTTGCAATGTACTGTGCATAAATTCAGAAGGTTTTAAAAACGGAAGTCGTAACCCGAATTGTCTCTTTACCTATGTGATTTATCTGTATTATTTGAAAATATTTTGCATGAAGAAAATAGTGATATTGAAGATGAAACTATTAATAAAATTTCTGAAGTAATGCTTGATGATAAT